CGGGGGGTCCCGCTGGGGTGGGGGTGCCATGGCCCTGGGTGCCCACAGACCCCTGGGAGGTGCCGTTCGAGGAGATCCTGGACCTGCAGTGGGTGGGCAGCGGGGCGCAGGGCGCCGTGTTCCTGGGCCGCTTCCACGGCGAGGAGGTGGCCGTGAAGAAGGTGCGGGACCTCAAGGAGACCGACATCAAACACCTGCGCAAGCTCAAGCACCCCAACATCATCACCTTCAAGTGAGCGGGGGGACACCGTGGGCATGGGGACACTGCAGGAGTGGGGCACAGGCGTGGCATGGGGCACGGAGCGCGCTGGAACACGGACGTGGCGTGGGCATGGCATGGGCACAGCTTGGCATGGAATGGACACAGCATGGATGCAGCATGGACATAGCATGGGCATGGCATGGCATGGCATGGCATGGAATGGAATGGAATGGACACGGCATGAACACAGCATGGACATGGCACGGGCACGGCCACAGAGGTCATGGACACACCACGGGCACGGGGACCGGCAGCATGGCACGGCCAAGGCGGGCAGGACACGGCGAGGATCCGGGCATGGACGCTCAGGGCAGCCTGGTGGGGTGTCCTGGATGGAGCGGTGGCCCCGGGGGCCCGCGGCGGGCGCTGAGGTGTCGCTGTGCCCGCAGGGGCGTGTGCACCCAGGCCCCCTGTTACTGCATCATCATGGAGTTCTGCGCCCAGGGGCAGCTCTACGAGGTGCTGCGCGCCGGCCGCAAGGTCACCCCCTCCCTGCTGGTCGACTGGTCCATGGGCATCGCCGGCGGCATGAACTACCTGCACCTGCACAAGATCATCCACCGGGACCTCAAGTCGCCCAAGTGAGCCGGGGACGGGGCTCGGAGCGCCCCTGGGTGCCCCCGGGCACGGGGACGAGCACGGGGTGGGTGCGCGGGCACGGCGGGGCCGTGGCAGTGGCGTGGCGCTGAGCGCGTGTCCCCAGCATGCTCATCACCTACGACGACGTGGTGAAGATCTCGGACTTCGGCACCTCCAAGGAACTCATCGACAAGAGCACCAAGATGTCGTTCGCCGGCACCGTGGCCTGGATGGCCCCCGAGGTCATCCGCAACGAGCCCGTCTCCGAGAAGGTGGACATCTGGTGAGGCTGCACGGCCGCCGGGGACACCGGGCAGCTCTGGTGGCACTGGGGACACAGCAGTGGCGGGCAGTGGGGACGGGAGGCGTTGTGGAGACACCAAGGGCACGGGGGGACACCAGAGATCAGGACCCTGGGGACACTGGAAGCGACATTGCAGGGCCAGGGGACATCAGGGACCAAGGAGCGGGGGACGTGGGGCAGCAGGAGGCCACTGTGGGTGACGGGGGCCGCGGGTGCCCACAGGTCCTTCGGGGTGGTGCTGTGGGAGCTGCTGACAGGCGAGATCCCCTACAAGGACGTGGACTCCTCGGCCATAATCTGGGGCGTGGGCAGCAACAGCCTCCACCTGCCCGTCCCCTCCAGCTGCCCTGATGGCTTCAAGGTGCTGCTGCGCCAGTGCTGGTGAGTGCCCAGGGGACACGTGGGGACACCCTGGGGACGCTCCATGGGCACCCGTGCCATGGGGGACCCCACCACAGGCAGGGCCTTGGGGCCAGCACAAAGGACCTGCCCCGTGCAGGGCCGGGGAGATCCCCTGCTTGTAGCGCTGTCCCCCCCTGGGTCCTGTGCACTCTGTCCCTGGTCCCCAGAACATT